GATGCTCAATATGATTATAATAACTATCACTATACTATGACTGTTAAATATAATGAGTTATGATGAACGATCGCTCCTACGACGACTCCATCAAAATGAGCATCATCGAAAACCCGATACACAACTTCTGATAGCTGAGAGTTATTGTGTTTATCTCAGAACACCCTGTACTTAGGAGGCAACCAGAAGAGAACCTTCCCCGACTTCTCGGATCGTCATCCCAATGATTAGAAACATACAATAATTAGTAACTTACTCCCCAATGGAGTTAAGAGCACTAAGATATGAGATAAATCGCACATATCTGACTTTTCCGTGAATTTATGGGAAACCTAATCCAAAAAATTTCTTTCGATCACCCTCGAGAATTTCTCGATAATCCACTCATATCGAACTCATACTTTCTTTCACGAGTTACCGACACTATATTACCCGCCAAACCGTCTCTTTGCTGAATTTCCAACAACGTGGACCACACATTGGACCATCGATACTTCATTGTTGAGCTAGCTTGGAATCTGAACACGGACAAAAATGACTGACGCGCGGATCTGCAGGATTCTGTCACAATTCGTTACTCCTGAGTTGCGATTTGAGTCTATTGGAGAGAAACCGCGAGTCCTTGGAATACCACAAAGAGTCGATTTCATGCTTCACGAGGAGAATTCTGGTGAACTGCGTGGAGAATTTTGGATATCAGGTTGAGAGAAGATCCTGGGACGAAATCTAGCATATTTCCGACGTGGACTCATTTTCAGTACCGCAGTGTCTAAGGAACTCACATTCAGACGTGAGTGCCACAATCTGTAGTTCGAGTGAAAGTTGACCATTGCTACAGAAAATCGCTGGGTTTATTGCTGTGTTCTATCGATGATTGCCCCCAGGAAATATCCGCCCGTGGAGACTCGAAGACTTTCAGGAAATTATTCCATGGCATTTGGAAACGCGAATGTTACTACATTATTTTAACCCTTTCCAAGGGAGCTACAATCGTCTTCGCCGAGGCACCAGCGATCGCACCACTGCAGGCTAGAATCGAATTGGATAGATACCGTGTATCGACTACAGGGCTTCTATCGGGCATTAGGAAGGAGAAAAAACTGAAAAATGATGGATCAGGGATTAGCGGCTCGTTAAGACGGTAACCCCACCAAAGTACTCCCTAAACCGAAACGGAATAATTATCAGTTATATTCAGAATATTTTCACTAGACATTCCTCCATCCAAGTTGAGATGCTATATTGTGATGTATGAATCACTACTTGCTTCAAGCAGCATGTGAATTTCTTGGACTGATAATTCGTATTTTCGCTAGCGTTTTCACCTGCATATCGTTCCTCATGTTATTCATATTACAGAGCACACAAAGCAGTTGAGTTGAAACCAAAAAGGTGTTATATATATGTCCTCATTAGATATAACCGTTCAATTGAAAGCACCGTTTGAACGCAAGACAGAAAAGGGGTCACGAATTTGCACACACGGCAAAAGGAGAATCAACTGTCTCTCTACGGAACAATTATTGAGCAATTGTTATAAGTCCCTTCCGAAAACTCTATAGCCACTTCCACTCCTACGACTTTATAAAAATTGCTCTGAGCCTTTTCGCAGGAGAATAATAACTACAATAAGCGAATCACGAAAATGCCTTTTGTTGACAAATACTTCCGCCATGTACGAGCGGCGAAAACGCTAAACCGTGAGCAATTAGCAGAACTATTCGGTTTTCAACGTGGATCTATCTTTCATTTCCGCGGAGTGGGGATGTGATCATCGTCTACTTGAGCTGAGGAAAAATAATGAACAGTGTTAAGTTTTCCAAACTCACTTGAAGCCATAGAGAGTTCTCTCATCCTCGAGGCTTGCGCACTCCATGTCGGTGAAGTGGCAACATCAGACGATTTCGGATCGGCGTTAGCGAGGAGTCGACGCAAACACGCGGATTCCTGCTTCAACGTCTTTATTTCGTTCCCTTGATCTTCTAGTTGAGATCGTAACTCGGCAATTTCGTCATCTAAAACGAAACCATGAGGAATAAAGAATCTAGTGAAAACGAAATTGGTAACAAACGTTCACTAAAAAAGATTGGAATAGTCCTCAGAGATGACAATCCTCAGAGATGGCACACGAAGTGGAAATTTTATATGATCTTCATTAGGTATTTCTGAATATTTTCACGAGCTGATGACTACAACTTCACTCTCCCGAGAACTACACACAAATTGTAGGAATAATTGAGAGAAAACCTCAGAGAGCCCACAGAAAACACTTCATACCTCTCCTGGTGAGCTCGCTGGCTTGCTCATCGACCTTGGAGCGTATCTTCCCCATCTCTAGGTTCACTTTGGCGATGGCCTCAGTTACCCGATTGACGTACATAATTAGCTTGGGATCCATACTTGAGGGAAATATAATTTAAGCAACTAGAATTCGCCACCAGCAATACACTATCATGATGCGAACGTGAAGGTCAACATGCGGCCGAGAACGCCTTTGGTGGAGTTGAAGGCCTGTGGAATCATGCGGCTATGCCACTGCAAGATATGCCTTAGTGACAACAGTTTCTTCGGATGGGGCCACTATGCCACTGCAAGATATGCCTCAGTAACAACAGTTTCTTCGAGTGGGGCCGCTATGCCACTGCAAGATATGCCTTAGTGACAACAGTTTCTTCGGATGGGGCCACTATGCCACTGCAAGATATGCCTCAGTAACAACAGTTTCTTCGGATGGGGCCACTATGCCACTGCAAGATATGCCTCAGTAACAACAGTTTCTTCGAGTGGGGCCGCTATGCCACTGCAAGATATGCCTCAGTAACAACAGTTTCTTCGAGTGGGGCCGCTATGCCACTGCAAGATATGCCTCAGTAACAACAGTTTCTTCGGGTGGGGCCGCTATGCCACTGCAAGATATGCCTTAGTAACAACAGTTTCTTCAGGTGGGGCCGCTATGACACTGCAAGATATGCCTCAGTAACAACAGTTTCTTCGAGTGGGGCCGCTATGCCACTGCAAGATATGCCTCAGTAACAACAGTTTCTTCGAGTGTGGCCGCTATGCCACTGCAAGATATGCCTCAGTAACAACAGTTTCTTCGGGTGGGGCCGCTATGCGACTGCAAGATATGCCTCAGTAACAACAGTTTCTTCGAGTGGGGCCGCTATGCCACTGCAAGATATGCCTCAGTAACAACAGTTTCTTCGAGTGGGGCCGCTATGCCACTGCAAGATATGCCTCAGTAACAACAGTTTCTTCGAGTGGGGCCGCTATGCCACTGCAAGATATGCCTCAGTAACAACAGTTTCTTCGAGTGGGGCCGCTATGCCACTGCCTAACTAACGTCTAACTGATTATAGAGGTTTACATACGAGTTCGGACACCACTTCTCAAAATTTCCTCCGGGCAAAGGGAGTTTTTGCTAACTCCATCTTGTGGTGGTGGGTGCTGGGAAGGACCACTCCGCTGATGAGCTCCACGTCCAACTCGCTGTTGAGCAACTAAGCATGATCCTACTTGGAAGTAGGTCACCAACACATAGTTGACCATACTTATATTTCCCCACACTGGGAGGAATACCGCTAATTTGAAAGCCTAACGAGTAGTTTTCATGGAAACGTAAAACTATCACATAACGTAATACACCTAGTCATGGTAAACCATAAACCGCTCATAATCGTATTCAACAAACTAAGCAGCCAGCCATATTGCCGACCGC